GATTTCCATAATATATTCCTCATTGAAATATTGAAATGCAATTAAAGTCGTTATTACTAAAATCCTTATTGAAATATTGAATTTCAATAAGAGAAGAATTAAGAATTAAAATTGAAATTCTCAGAGATTCTAAACCTAGAATTCCAAGATTATCATTTCTTGATTTGAAATCTTTATGAAAATATTTTATTTCAATAAAGACGATTCCAAGAATAAAAGAATTCGAATCAAGAATCCCTAGTAATCTTAATTCTTTTTTCTTAGTTCCGTCTGTCGAAATTCAATATTTCAATAAACATTTCCATAAAATATCCACCCTAATTGAAATTCAATATTTCAATAAGAATTTCAATAATACCGACCCTTATTGAAATTCAATATTTCAATAAGGGTTTTTAATAATAGTTATATGTAGATTTATCATTGAAAGGAAAATATTTTTTGCAAAAGAGAAAAATTTATAATGACGAATCTTTGGGGAGTAGTCTATTTTTTTGCTTGTTTATTTGTTCATACAAAAATATATAAATAGATAATATATGTATATATATATATATATGAATTGTGCGTTGGTATGATGTAGGCTCCGTGTCGAGTTAATATCATGAATCGGATAGGGTTGGATATAAATTTGCATGAAATATCTGAATTCATCAATGGGTACTAATCCGAGGGTCAATGGTGCACGCTTCAGAAAACACCTTAGATAACAATAGCGTCGGAGACCGCAAACAAAAACTACGTGCCCACACTTAGACCTTAGAAGAGTTTGCGCGAGCCTACAGACTCAACGGCACGATCCCCCCATACTCCTTGAATAAACATCATGAAACATCATCCCAGCATGGGAGTACGTAATCCACTAGTTGAATGCTTTAGAATGCTGGTGCTGTGCTCGCTTGCTGCAAGCCGACCGGGGGGGGGGGGGCGACACAATGCCTGCTAAGGGTTCTTGATAGTTGTCGAGTCTCGGGACACATGTTTCTTTGGTGGCGTGGGGCTGTTCATGAGCCGTGTGCACCCCCTTTGGCGACAAGCGACTGCCTGGGCCAGGGACTCTAGAAATGAGGAAAGATTAATGGGGACGACCATTGGTTTCAACGCTCTGGCATCATGATGACCTTACACTCGCACGCACGGGCCTGACCTTGGTCCTGATCATGGCTTGAAGGTCTCTGCGTCCGTGCTTGGTGGGGGGTAAACTCAAACACGATCCCATAAACGAGCCTCCAACAACGGGAAAGAGCATGCACACTTGTAAAGGCCCACTGCGGTGCAAACAGCTAATCCAGGACATGTGCCTGGAGCACTGCCTGAGCATGGTGAACCCGAAACACTGAGATGTGATCTTCAGGTCCGCAATCTCAACCTAATCCTGTACATCGCACCTGAGACATGCAACAATCACTAGGGCTCGCAGCACTGGCTACATGTTCCAGAGCGTGGGTGCAGCTTTGTGACCACTGAAACGAACATCAGGGGCCAGGGGTGGCTTTCGACATGTGGCCAAGGTTTCTTTCTTGGGGTAGCTCCATGATCCCTTAATATAGGCCTCAAAAGGGGACGCCTTACATACCCCTTATCTACCCTATAAAAACCCAAGGCCCCGTACTTCGGAACCCTTGAAAGAAGGTAAGGGACCACATAAAGGCACCATGCAACTACCCTTAGATTCTAAAGCAGCCCCGGTCCCTATTCCGAAGTACTCATCAAGCAAAAGGCAAGCTCATTGCTCATTGAACTTGAGTCAGCGAACTTGGTCCTCCAGCAGATAGGCCGCATTTAAGGAAGGACCCCTAAACCTTAAACACTAAACCCTCAGCTTTAAGAACCCACTGACTATGTTTACTTCGGAACCATGACTCTTGCAGGAGGCTTGCTGCACACATGCGGGAGTTGACTCTACGATCTGGTCCCGGTTTGGTGACCTGGCCACCCACATAAGGGAGCAGTAGGATGAAGGTCCCGGTGCTAAGTATCCCTTCCATCCCAAAGTGCGCCTCCACCATCTGCATCAGGGCAAGGCTCCGAAGCATCTTTGGGCGAAGGGCCATCTGTCAGAGCTTTTTCTGGCGGCTTGTGTTTCTTTAGTTGCACTTCCGGCTATGAAAACTTGAAGCAGCAGAAGCAGCAAGCCGCCCACGAGACACCTTGATTCTCTGCTGCAAGAACTGAAAGGTTGAGGTCTCAGTAAAGCGAATTCTTCACAAGAATATGTCTTCAGATCCCTAGCTTACGGCTTTCAAAAAAGAATGCGCCCTTTGCACACTGCCTCCTGGATGAGCTGGGAAACATGGTGCTTGGGAAGTACAAATGCACCATCCTCCAGGGAGTGGAAAGCTCAAGGCATTCTGACCAGTACTTGACAAATGGGGGTTTACGAACATATGGGGCCCCTGATATAGACCCCCAAATAGTACGGTTCCCTTAGAATAAGGAACCCGAGAAGGTGCCCCGAATTTCGGAAACGGTTTAATGCGGCTTCTGATTTGATGCTTAGCGGTGCCAGTTCTGGCCAGTGAGGGGCTTGGGTGCCAGATTCAGGATTCGAGGCCTCCTCAGGTTGAGAACCCAAGCTTTTTTCTAAGCAAACGCAAACCTTACTCTCATCTTGAAAGGCTTAGGGTTTAGGATTTTAGGATTTAGGGTTAGGGTTTAGGGTTTAGGGTTTCGGGTTTAGCCGAAACTGACACACCACAAAGCACTCAAGGCGGAGTCCCCGGCGTGCTCGCAGCGCACAGCGCCGCCCACGTCGGCACCCACGAGAAATCCACGAACGCAGCCCAGTGGTGCCGGGCAGAACTCCATGCCCAGGGCCTTTCAGGGCATTCGCGGACCGAAACTCACTGAGTGTTCTAGGGGCTGGGGCTCCAGGGCTTTTTGCGGGGAGCTGAGGAGTGAAGCTGGCGTTCAAAGGCTTGAGTTTGTTTGTGGGGCCGAGATTGTTGGGTCCACCCAAATGGAACCAGCAAGTGCACTAACTGAAAAAAACACTGCTGTTCACGCCCCTAAGCTTTGAGCTAATTATGAGCACCTATTCGGTTTGCATGAAGTTTCAGCCTGTCTGGGGCTAACAGCATCCGAAGTGTTCAGCATGTACGGCTCTCCTTGCAGCTTCCTCGGCCTTCAGCTTCTGTAGCTGAAGCTCGACAGTCCCACATTCAAGGATCGTATTTGCATTGGCCCGGCTGGGTGGCAACAGAAATCGAAAATGTGTTTCTGGGTGCAAGGTGCAAATTCCACTCGACATTGGCGTTTATCGCCCAAGTTATAATGTAATGGCTAGATGGCACATCCCTACGTGCACGGCAACACCCGACACCCTCTCCCCAAGAGGCACCTGGAGCGCCTCCCTGGCCAGCCTTCCATGCACGGTGGGGCCCAAAGAGGCATCCAGCAGATTAACTTGCGTTGCCGTCCGGGCGAGAGGGTTTTGGTGTTGAGGCGTGCAAGAGCAACTTCTGGCAGACATGTAGTAAGATTGTAGTACTTGGTAGTGCCTTCCTGCATTCTGCAATGTGGAAATTGAAAAATCGCGCGGGACGCGAGAGCCATAACTCGTGGTTTCTGTGTAGAGATGCCTAGGAGACAGCTTGTCCCCGATTCTTCGTTTAGGCCATGTTACGCACTATTCTGAAGGCCTCTGCCCCAGCCGCTGACCTGGGTCTGCCGCAGCTGCCAGTTGGATCCGCACCGCCTGGGAACGGATACAGGCTGATCCGTGGGAAGAACCACAGGCGGTGGTGCCTTTTTTCCTAGGTCTGACTCTCCTTATTTTGTTCTTTTCCTAGCCCCCCATTTGCAAACACAATGCTCGCCATTTGCAAACAGCATGCTCGCATGCTGTGTTTGGAAGGGTATGGTCTTGAATCAAGCTTGCGCGGCTTTTAGAAAAATATGGGTTTAACGGTTTAACACAATGCCCCAGACCAGGGGACCGCATGAGCAGGGGAACAGCCAGACCTAAGAAAAGGGAAAAGACACAGCCAGACCGCCGGACCCGTCCGAACAACGAACGTAACAGAAACAGTAAGGAAACAACTGTCTCTACATGACCTCTATCAGCCAACTCGGTCGGGCCACTTTAAAGGCAAGAACTTTCCAAAGAGTGCCGAACACGACAAGAGACAGCAGGACTGGAAGCTTCGGAAACACGCTGGCTGCCAGCCTGGCCACAGCCTGCCACATACCCGCCGGCCTTCAAGCTCTTTACACCTTCCAAGCCCTCTGGCCTGCGCAAGATACGCCGCAGTGGATCCGAGGCAGCAAGGGCGCACCTCCGCCGCAAGCAGTGTGCCAAGAGTGTGCCTGAAATTGCAAGGTTGGCATCTTCTCCACGGTGCCAGGCCAACAGCAAAGCCCAGGCAAGGAGCACTACATACTGAACGAGTCAGAGCCGCAAGACCAGGCACAGGCACCCCTCCACCATGGATCAGGCCATGGAAACAGCTTCCGCTGATTTTTGCGAGGGATCTGTGCGCGGCAGTGTTTCCTGAAAGCTTTGGTCGAGGCACTTAGGATGTGGCCTTGGGACGACATAAGTCTCGACACTGCCAACTGAACTGAACAAAGCTCAGGCCACAAGGCCCTCGGATCCCTTGTCGTGCCCTGGAATTTGATCTGAATGCCAGGCACTCACCTCAACTCTGCCTTTGATGGAGTTGTAAGGCAAACAATTTGTGCGCAACAGCAAGTGAGTGCCCTGCAACACGCAAACAAGGGACGGAAAGCTAACACGGGACGGAATCACCTGCTGCGGTCAGAACAGTTTGCCGATGCTCCTGTTGTGGCTGTCCCACGCAGTACGCTATTTCTCTAAAAGGGCTACCTCGGACTAACACGGTGGACTTGGTGATGTGCCTACGACATAGCCGTATGGGAATTCGGCTATGATGATATGTGTGTAAAAGGGCAGATAGTTGGGAAACTTGGAATATGTTGGGTGTCATCCTTGCGCCCATCTGTCGATCATACACCAATGTCCTGAAGTATTCGGGCATGGGAGTTGTTCTTCGTAACAGACTCTTTCGGGCACTTATGAAAAAAATCTCTTCCCTGCACTCTATCTTGCCCAAGAGGAGACACCACGTGCCACGATCCTCGAACATCCCCCACAGCTGCACAACCTCTCTCCCAAGCTCGAGGTGCCAAGGTGCCTCCCAGGCATCTGGCATAGCCACGTGCTCTAACTGCTTCGTCTGCAGCTGCTGCTGTTGGTACACCGCCAAGGCCTGTTGGAGTTCTGGGGAGGTGAGTTGCTGTCTGAAAACGTGCCACCCGAGTTCATAAGCCCTGTGGGCTCCCTCCAAAACTCTGCATCTTGGCAGCAGGCAGCCCGCAAGCTAGACCCGAAGGCGTTGTCAAACAGAGGGAGGTTCCCAAACCTCCAAAAAATCTTTTGAGTTAGGCAAGAAGGCCTGGAAGGTGATCACCTGCTTCGTTAGCGCCCAGGCTGCGCGGTCCAGGGCAGAGGTCGCTAGAGCCTCCACAGGGACAAGCCGTGCTAAGGCAGCTCATGACCAGCCTTGTGAGCCTGCTCAAGCTCGTCAAAGGGGGCGAATCTCTCGAATATGACTGAAGGTTGTGCTTTGGGCGTGGGCCTTGTTTTTGTTGAACTAACATTCAGGTTGACCAGTTTAAGCTCCAACGAGGCTTTCGAGGCCTAACATTCTGGCGACTGGATCTGTGCCACGGCCATTAAGCTTCAGAATCCGAGTCAAGACAAAACGTCAGGCTGCTTCCAAGGTGGCGAAGCCTACATCTGAGTTGCAGGAGGCACCACGCTGTAAGGGGCATAAGGATAGGTAACAGGTGCTGTCGTGAAACATGAGTTGTTGTGACAAGAGACCTAGTGGGAAAACAGAATTGATTGCACAGCACTCATCGTGGTTACTCTAAGCCAACACTTACCCGTGACCAAAACCAGATCTTCGCCCCAGAACGGCAATGACTCATGCAGTAGGACCTGGCTCTGCCAAGCCAGCGATGTGACGTTCTGGCATGTCACCTCAACCTCCACGTCCTGTCAGTTTTGCTTGAAGACACCGGGCACATCAGGTGTTGCGGAAGCTCACAAGGCAACAGTGCACGGCCTTCTTAGCGAACGACGAACTCTAAGTGACCCTGCACCCGTGCGTCAGTTCGTTGTGTTAGCTGTAGCTGGTTATCACATCATTGATGGTTCGGAGACAAGGAAGCCGTTTCAGATACCAAGCGATGCAGAAGTGAGAAAACGGCAAGGTGGAGGTCTAATGCGATCATGGTTTCGACTCCTGCACCGGACTAGGGAGGGCTTACGAGTTCTGCACGAGTGCCAAGAAAAAACTTTGAAAAACGAGTGCGATGCGAACACTGCCGCAAGCTCAAGCTAGGGCTGGCACCATAAAAGGCAAGAAGAACACTTGCATCCGGAGAGCCCTTACTGTGCCAGGTGGAACCAGATACAATCAACCTCTACCAGGGCTTCGGGCAAAAGAACCTCACAAAGCAGGAAGGCAACCCTGGAGAATTATCTGCTGAGTGAGCAGCAAACACAGACACGCCTTTTGGGGTAGGAAGCTGTTGAGCATCTTTTCCAATGCTGTCCTTACTTGCAACATTTTGAAAACCCCACGTAATTGTAATGTAGCCGGCGGCTTCCGGGGTGTCTGTGTGATTCTACGCAAGTCTGACGCAAAGACGTAAAAGGAAGGAGGCAAAAGTGGAAAAAAGAGCCGGCCTTGGTCCAGTCCCCGAGGAGGGACAGGACGTCATCGTCTCTCAGTGCCTGGGAGCTTCGCAAGAAGTCCCTACGAGCCCCTACGTCATTACATTGACATGCCATACATGTGAAATCCCCCAATCCCCAATGCAAAGTCCGAAGACAAGGAAAAGATTCGACCGAGTTGGAAGCCATGGCACATCCTGAATGCTCTCTGCTGCGGTCACCGTGGCGGCCCACGCCTCCACTGCAGCGGAAAGCTAAGGGGGCCAAGTTTTGTAAATGAGGATCTTCCTGTCCTAACCTCCGGGTCCTTGCACAAGTGGGCGTAACAAAACATTCCAAGCCCCAACCTTACCCCAGCCTCAAGCAATGATTCTTGACTTCTCTCATCAGCTCGGATGGCAAGCTGCCAGGCTTCCTGCAAGGCCTCGCAAGCTGTCTAGCATTGCATGCTATGCACTATGGATAGCCCAGCACCATGCAACTAAATGCCACAACTACTCGGGGATCTGCAATCGTACCACGACGAAGACTACTAACCTACTGGCCAGTAGGTCCAGAACCAGGGCCCAGCTACCGCTGGAAGCTTGCAATCTGTGGTTGCTGGTAGGCGAAACACAAGAAATGTCAAGCAGAGAGCTTTTCAGGCCTTGGTGTCGGTTTCGCACCTCGTAAAACCGCGTGCAGCGGCCAAGGCTTCGTCCATTTGGTGCAGGGCCTTTGAATGCCTGGGTTCCCAGCCATTGCAATGTCATACAGGCCAAGGATTTTGTCTCGCACTGGCAAAGAACGTGTTTTCACCCGTCTTGCCTAGGTTGGCACCTCTATCAATGTCTCTTTCCACCCAGTTGAAATAGCGTTTGCAGTCCTACTTGAGCTGGCTGCTGGCACTTTTCCCAAAAGAGCAGGACATCCACATTTCCTCCTACATGATGATCAGCCTTTCTAGATTTCTAGTCGTATTTTAATCAGCCCAGGTTGTATGGGTCATAGGGTAGGTGGTCTGCGTGCGAGATACAAAAAGCTTTGACATTTGCACCATGTGGACATAGTGCCATAGCCAAGCCATGCAAATCCCAGGCCGTGGCCAGCCGGTTCACCTTTGGACCCAGATTTCGTAAAGGCTTACAGCCCATAGCCACTGGGCCACAAGCAGAACGCGCTAAACCTCAGAAAGCTGATATCTGCACACATGCAGCCGCCAGTTCCAAAGCCCTAGGCTCTTCAAATACAAGCGGCAGCATGACATAGGCGCTGTGCTTCTCATGGCACCGTTGGAGGGCTTCGACCAGCGGTCTGATCAAGGCTTGGGGATGTAGCTGCTGGCCCTCGCTTTCAAAAGGCTTTAAATCAGCTTTTGGCTCATGGCTTTCCAAGCATGTCGTTGGGAGCTTGGGGGGTCACGGCTCTGAACTGCGGTCTTCCCACAGCTCGGAACCCTAATTTCTAAACACCGAGGGCACCCTGAGCCCTGAGCGAAATACTCCAAAATCTGAGAGCCAAGAGGCACAGGGAAGGTGCGCAAGCTGAGGTCAAACTTCAAAGCTTGGGCCTTACCGACAGCACGGCTCAGAGCCCATAGCCCATAAGAACAACAATGCTTTCTCACAATGTCTTGAGGTCATGAAAACACTCCTGAGGAAAGCCAAGACATGGGGGTTGAAGGCCCATTGGCTTGATGCTGTGGCAAATGGACATGGTGGTGAGGGTTTGGTTTGGTTTCCGTCGTTGCTCGCCACGGCTGATGCGCTGCAGATGCATCCGTGTGGTCGTCCTTCTCTTGTGAGTGAAAGACCAGCATGATGATTCGAAGGCCCAGAAGTTTGTGAACACTGAAGCCAGGATCTGGGAACCGTCGATTGAACAGATACTTCTGGCTTTCAGGGAAGGGCTTGGGATAACTGGTGTAGATGTAGCTGGGTCCACCAGCGTCGTCACAAAGAGGCTTGAACTATTGGAATACACACAACTGTCCCAGGACCATGGGCTGTTGACTTTGGCCCAACAGCCCAATCCTCCGTCGAGGCCAAGAGCCTACACAGGACTTCTCGGCCCTTTGCCCACGCGCCTTGACGTGGCTGACACTACACGCAAGACGCAACATGCTCCTATGCGTGTCCTTGTTGACGCACGCTAAAGCTTGAAGCTGGAAGGCTCCCCCGTTACAAATCAAGGAACAAATCAAGGAAAACAATGGCTTGGACAGCATGACGGGCTCAAGGCCAAACAAAAACCCGCTAACGGCCTGTGAAGGTAAACCGGAGAATCCAGAGACCAAGACCCAGGACCACGCGATGTTCCCCAGCATGTTAGCAGCACCCTGCAGCCCCTGGGGTCCCTCCAAGTTTCAGAAACCTGGCCTTGTCCGCCAGCTTGCGCTGCTGCGCTGTGTCCTGGCGAGATTTCAGGGCCATGGGACTTGGGGGTCTTCAGGTCGGGCAACGGCTGTTCTATGCTGCTTTGCGTCAGGGCAAGAGGATTCTTGAGGCATAGTGCCACAAGGCTTGGTTGATGAAGGCAGCCGCTCTTTTCACTGTTGCTTGGTATTGTGAGGATATGGGCCTCCGAAAGCTCCCCACCGCTGAAGCCCTTGCCCTTATCTGCTTCTTTGTTTTCGAAAAATAGCCGTAAACCTCCTGAACCAACCTTGAGTATGAAAACCTGGAAGCACACAAAAGAGAATCCAAAAAGAACTCAAAACGCGAAACCCTTGAAATTCCGCGTGTTGCCTCGCGCAACAACCGCATCTTGTCTGCCACTGGGGGTGCTCGCGCTCCATGCCGGAGGCGCTGTTGGAAGCTTGCCTGGACTCGAACTCGGCAATACAGGGGCCTTAATGCCTATTCTGCAGAATTCCGGACTCTAAACACGCACTCAGCCCGACATCCCAGACAGCCCCAGCCAGGCGAAATATCTTAATAACACAGTGTACGCTACCAAGAGTAACAAACGCAAAGTAACAATGGAGGCAACAATAACGCGCAACAGTAGTACTCCTCAGTAGTAGCTTGCTCAGACTAACTCGGTGTTCTGCCTGAAAGTGGTGCAGCATGCCACGCGCAGCCTCGAACACAACAGGGCTTTGCTGCTTCAGGGCAGTCGACCCCTATGTAAATGATTTCCTCAGCTTCCTCTCCCAAGTATCCGCTTCCACATAACCGAATAACTCATCTTCGGAACCTATTTTCGACTTTGTGGATCATCTTCAAGCCAACAGACTCTAGAAGACGCTAGAACATGCACTGCTACGGCTGTACCTACATTGCCTGAACGCTCCATGCCAATGGCGAAGACCACCCGAAGCTGTATTCTTCGGCAAGGCGATGCTGGTGTTGGGAGGAGTAGACGTCCTGTACCTGCCTTCGATCTCTAGGCACTAAGCACTGAGGCGCTGAGGAAGCGTGTTACTCGACATGGCGCATCAACAGGGCATGCTAACGGGGTTGGGGGGGACGCAACCCCGATTGTTGCTTCAAACCTCGGCTTCGTACGGCACAGCATGTGCCTTCACGCGCAGAGGCCAACTCTGTTTGGTGGCATTCACGGTGAGGGACGCGAGGCGCTCGTACAAGTGTTGTCCTCAAAGCCCGAAGACCATGATATTTAAAAGACCCATGCGACCCCGTTTTGCTGACTGCAGGTCCCGCAATACTACAAGCACTCACCTGGGCCTCCAGATGACTAATTTCCTTGGCATGGCCTCCTCCAGGCAACCCAAAAACAACCCTCCCGGCACCTGCGTTATGACCTGTGCCCTGGGCTGGAGCAGCTGAGGCTGAACGCCGACACTTCGAGAAGGAGAGGCTAAGATCACCCTTTGAACCCAAAATCTCTACCGACTCTGGGGGGCCTACTCCTTGACCCTAGGACTTAAGACCCACTTGCAACCCCACTGGAAGCCCCATCAAAAGCTCCTGCTGATTCGTGCCAGTGGAGGATGTCTCGGGAGAGCCTGGGGGCTGTCGCCTTCCGGAGCAAATGACTAAAAACAATCATGGGAAGATAGATGAACATTGATTGGGATGTTCCCCCTTACACTAACAGGGCATTATAATCGGGGGTACTATCATCCCTATTAAGGACCGTTAGTATACGCGGGAACATCCGAACATATTGATAAAGCATTCATGATCCAAAAGCCGAAACAAGGACCTCGTTGGTCAGCACGGAAGTCATCTGAACTGCAACAGATCCACACCGCTGTTTTATCAGCGTAGTTACCCATGCGGGCAAGCATGGAATGCCTAAGGGCTATATCCCCCCCTGTAAGTTTCCAGGTGCGCACTGGCACTTGCCTTCATGCTCTCGAAGTCGATATCCTGCAGCTCAGAGAGCAGCGTGCTGGGCTGCGGAGGTGCTTCGCCTCGAAGTTCGCCGTCCTGGCAGAAGACGAATAGCAAGAATCGCTGCAATTGTCATATTGTTTGGAACAGAAAATAATACATGTAAGAATACGGTGAAGACCACAAGAATGACAACATCAAGATGTGCTCTGCAGTGGGTGAAGTAAACGAGCATCGAACACAATGTGTGGATGCCTCGGTGTGTCGCCAAGGATGGGCCCGAAACAAGTTTTCTTCATAAAAGCCAAGCTACATACAGCTTTGGCAATCAGGGATGGAAACCCGCTCTGCAAAGTAAACCCTTTGTGCCTGCTGAGCTAATTTTCGGGACCTCATCAAACCGTTGTGCTTGGGAAGCTTTCAATCTGTACCTGCGCAGACACATTCATGTCCACGGGAGTTGAAGTGGGGGGTACCTTCTTGGGGTCCTTATTACAAGGGACTCCCTCTGTTTGGGGAGTCTATATTCAGGTTCCGTATTCTCGTAAACTCCCATGTGGTCTCCTTCGTGGACCAGCAGAACGCTGCAGAGAAACTTCGAACGAAGGGAATCGACATCGCTCAAGAGAAACCATGCCGCAAACAATGAACCAACACAAGCGCAAACTGCATCTTCCCATCACCCCCTCCCCCCCGCCGCCCCC